ATATAAATAAAAGGATAAAACGTTTGGACTCGGATTCTACCCCTTTCTTTACACAAATCTTTATATTTGAAGGTTTATTTTCAGTAGATAAAAACTAGAACTTTGTTTATTTGGACAACAAACAGGTGTTTGTTTGAGTACGTGCAGCGTGATCTTAAGAACCAGACATATGAGCTGTATTTACATAGTTTGTGTGTTTTCTCTGCTGTTCAGAGGGTTCAAATGTTGATTGTGGAACAGGAAAGCTCTGTCCTTCCTTCTTCTCCTCCACTACTGAACACAAACCTTCTATTACAGAGATCTTCTTTTCCGTTTCCTTCTCCATAACTTTCTGTCCATATTTAATTTCTGCAACTTGTGCCACTTTTTCGGCCTCTACAAGACAAAGAAACACCATTTACAGCCTGTGTTGGGTAAAAAAACCCGCTTGATTTATCAATGATTCTTTCTTTTTTCTCTCACCGATCACAGCTTTGATCCTCTCGGTCTCTGCCTCCTTCTCCACAACCTTCTGTGTCTGCTGGGAGATCAGCAGCTTCGTCTTCTCACTCTCCCTGCAAACAGTTTTTACATTAAAGCCTGACGGTCTATGGCTACATGCTTAGGGTTTCCACATCTGTTGGAGGTCCTGATTCATGTCACAGTCTGAGATTTACAGTAAAGATGTGGAAAACATTTTGTTAAGAAACTCAGGAGGTTCAGACAAAGTGTGAGTGTTGGAGTCAAGCAGTGGCAGATGTCCAGCCTCTGAACTTTGAGCCAGCATGGAGCAAAATGTCTGCACACTAAACCTGGATCACGGTGACTTCTCAGTGATTAAATACAAACTAGTCAAAAGAAACTCCCAAACTCTACAAGGCTAAATTCTTCAAACATGACAAGTTTAACCTGTTCTAAAGGGACATCCAACAATCTGGACCAGGTTCTTCTGTCAGACAGGCTTGTCTGACTCCAGCTGAGCCTGGCTGGCGTCCAGTTACAACAAGTACAACGGACTGTTTACTCTAACAAAGTTAAATCAGGTCCTCTGCACGGATTCAAAAAAAATTAAAAATTAAAACTTGTTGAAATGTTTTGTTTTTAATCCAAAAGACTTCTTCAGTCTGAGGAGCTGTACTAAGTTCAGTCTTATAAATAAAAAGCACCTTCTCATAATTAGCTATGTTTACATGGACATAAGTAATCGGATCAAACAGCTGTTCAGAATAAAAACGTGTCATGTGAACCCCCAATTCGGGTTATTTTTTGTTTATTCAGCGTGATCTGAAAGAATTTGTGATCAGAACAAAACGGGTGGTTTACAAGGATTCATAACCCGATAGGTGTGCATGTAAACACTTGACCTGTTCGTTTTTTTCTGATCGTGAAAAACTGACCTGACTGCGCATGTGCGACTTTGTCATTTCTGCCTGGCTAATGCTAATAATATTAGCATGTCGAGGAAGTAAAACTGGTCGGTGAGCGACACAACATTTCTACTAGAAACTTTGAAAGAGCTCAAAATGATCTGTATCACCTGTGGCTCAGTCAGGGAGTGCAGTAACGTCTCCACCGTCATTAAAACCTGTCGCGGGTCCATTTTGGGTGCTCAGGTTTGTTTACGTTCATCCCGGAAGTAAACCGGAAGTAGAACTTCTTCTTCTGTGTTGTTTTAAGGAGAGTTTACCACTCTGCACATGTCAGTACTGCTGTTCAGAACAAAGCCCGCTGCATGTAAACGCTCATCATGAACAGATTGTGCCCATGTAAACAATACATTTGAATTATTTAATCTGAAAACATTTCAATCTGGTCAAAAACATGTGCGCATGTAAACATAGCTATAGTGGATCTGCCAGTTTGTTGGTGACATCCAGAACTAGCTGTTCACATGATCAAGGAGGATCATCAGCCTAAAGACTGATCGTTAGTGCCCTGATGGCCGCTTGCTATTCACAGGGGGGTGAGTGATACTAGCAGTAATAGCATTGTAAAGGCTCCCACAGACTCGGGCAGACCTCAGTCCACCGAGGTTCACGTGTAATGGATTAAGAGTGGAAGCGGACGCCCGCAGGGCATGTCCATACAAAGCTCAGTTTTTACGACCGTGTACGCGTACTCGGTGTCACACACTAAACTGTCCGGCGACGGACTGTTTTGTATGCGACACCAAATTCCCCTTCTTCATCCCTGGCCTGGTTTAATGGCCTTTTCTTTTGTTTGCTTTTTTTCCCATGAGGCAAGTGATCTCTTCCTCCTCCGTTGATGCCATGACTGAAATGGTGAAAAATGAAGGAATTTTTCATGAGCAAATTAAACTCAGGTCCAGCATGGCTGCGGGAGGGTCTGGAGATTTCATGGTGGGCCGGTCTGATGTGTGGGCTGCAGAACCAGCGCTCCCTGATTTTTGTTTTTGTTTTAGAACTTTTTATTAACAACATATAAACATAACATTGCTGCGGCTGCCAGCTCTATTAAATTTTTGTGCGACCTGTCAATCAGTCCACTAGGCGTGTCAGCAAATGACCAATCATCAAACTCAATTTGTCCCGAAGGTAAACGCCTCTTGCCTGCGGAGCTGACTGCAGTCGGTCAGGGCGGACGCTCGAGTATGAAGTCTCAACCGTCGTTGAGACTTCATACTTGCTAACAAACGTGAGATTTTTCCTGGATTATTGAATGAGCATGAATCAGGGCAAATGTTTTCTCATTCAGATTCACCAAATTTGGCATGTGTGGTTGAAGCCCTCATTACTGGAAGACAAAACAGACTGTGATGTATTAAATATCTGCAGGAAAGAGCCAACAATGATCCAACACATCCTGGCAAAGTAGCAAAGAAGTGACTAAACAAAAAGCACATTAAGGCCAATATGTGGTGACTGAGTCTCTAAACATCTAATTTGGAGAAAATCTTCAGAGGAAGTTGGAGCTTTGAGTTGCCAAGTGGCAGCTGAGAAACTGAAGAAGAGTTCCTGTAAAGAGAAGTGGGTCAAAACCCCTCCTGAGAGGTTTGCAAACCCAGTGACCAATTACAAGAAAGCTCTTACTGCTGTGCTGCCAACAAAGGTTTCTCCGCCTGCTACTGAGTCATGTTTGGATCAAATATTTCACTCAATGACATGCACATCTTGCTTTTCCTGGGGTTGATATTCTGGTTGCACTTATGTTGAGAAAATAATTATTTTTTCCACCTTAACTTATGTAGTGCCTAATGTGAACAGTGAGAACAAAACTGGATGCATGTAGCATCTAACCAGAGAAAATACTGTGCAGTAATAATGTCCCCCCAGCTTTAGAACTGCTCTAATCAGTCTTGTACTAATTACCAGCTGATATTTGTTCAGAACATGTAAAAAATCTCAGACTTCTCTAGAGACGAGAAACAGAAGTTCCCTGTTGCTGCGACGAATTTCCGTCATCTGTAAAAGTGAAAGTGGGAAAAAAAAAACGTGTTTTCTCTACTGCCCCAATTTGATGGGACAGTCCAAGAATTTGCCCTCCTGTCTCACGAGGAGGAGTGGGACCAATGTTCCCTCTAAGCTGCACGCCTGCGCAATCGCGCACTGCTCGCATATTCTCCGCGCACAAGAAAATATATGCTGCGCAGTTAGTGCAACTGCTCAAATGCTCAAGTAAAACATCTGGTTATCTCCCGCTTTATAATAAACTGTCAGCCCGAGCGCAGCTCTCTACAATCTGTCTGTATGCAGCGCAGAAATGCGTGCAGACTGGGGGAAGGAAACCCCTCCTCCTGGTCAAAACAGACCTGTGTCACGTGATTTATGTAGTGACAACAAAAGTTTACAAAGAGGTAAAAAATTTCAACCAATGAACTCACAGGCAAACTTTCATTCCAGCCAATGAGCGTTTTTTTGAATTTCAGTGATTCGTGAGAGAAGCGGAGTGCGCTCTATTCACACAAGGACAGCTGTTGGTCAGGCTACTTCTTGTTGTGCCATTAACTCAAATAGTTATAGAATCAAGTGTTACTTATGTAAGTAAAACTAAATGTTAAACAACCCGTTAAAATACACCAGAATGCAGGAAATGGCATCTACTTTATTCAAAATTTTCGGGGGGGGGGACCCCCCCCCCCCCCACATTACAAACATGCTTCTGACAACAATGGCCAATATTATATATTATTATTATTTATTTTAAAAGATGCGTCCACAGTGTCTCCTTTTCAACTCATTTGGGATTTGGGGCTGTAATTGAGGTATTTGAGCTTTGAGATGTTAACCACCTGCTCCCAGTTGTAAAAAACAACTTGTTGTCATGGTTACACATCATAACAAATGTCCAAAAGTAACAAGGTTTCAGTAAAAATCCTTCCAGCTGCACAGCATCCGATACCAGAGGAAGTAATCATCCAGAAAGAGTGATTTACATCCAGAAAAAATAGCAATTAATGTTTTCAAAAGCATTAACTCAGAATGAAAGTAACAAGCTACTCCAACATGCAGCCACCTTGAACAGCGCAATTCTAGAACTAGAACTGTGTCGCTCAGTAAGATCTAGAATTCTAAGGTCATGTACTCAGTATACTGTGTACTTTTACTAAGGTCATGTACTCAGTATAATGTGTATTTGTACTAAGGTCATGTACTGTGTATACTGTGTATTTGTACTAAGATCATGTACTCAGTATACTGTAGAAAATATTTCAGTCAAAAGATTTCTTTCAGTTTTAATCCCGGTCTTAAATACGCTGCGAGTGCTTCTCTTTTAAACTCTGATGAGGAGGAGAACGAGGAAGGTCCCCTCCAGCAGCTTCTGTCTCCCTCTCAGTATCTTGGAAACTCCAAACAGTCCACAAGATGGCTGACTGAGGACATTTATTTATATTAAAGTTTGTATATTGTGCAATATACTTAAGAAATGACATTTTTGTTGAGATCTCTCACCTTCTTTATTGTAAAGGTTGAAAACAACCAGATTCTGTTAAGAGATTGTCCACTGGACCACCAGGACATTTCCTCATGTCTACTCCTGCAAATGGTAACTGCCGTTCACTAAAATGCCCAGATTGTCCTTTCATGACCATGTCCATGTGTGTGTGTGGCTCACTGAAGGAGTTTAAATTCCCAGCAGCCAGTGTGGTCATGACTAAACTGCTGACTCCTGTCCACCGCCAACATACACAGAACCAAGAGTTGGACGAACATCATGTCTATTTATTCACAAGAAAAAAAAACTACAGCGAGCTTTTCTTGTTCAGTGGGAAAATAAAGTAGACTCACATGAGCTCATAGTTCCTCCGAATACTCTCTGGGATATTGGGTTTAGTGACACGAACCGCCTGTGGAGCACAGAGAGAGAGAGAGAAAACACTTTGTGAAGAGAAAAATAAACACTACATTAAAGCAATGGCTATAAAAAGACGTTTTCACCATCGAGGAAGTTGTCGGGAAGAAGAATAAAAATTAAGCTCCAACACATCAAAGTTCATGATCAATACTCCAGGTAAAACATCCAACAACGTTCAGTCAGGTCCTCTGGATGTTTTCTTTTTGTTGTTGTTGTTGAGACATTTCATCCTTCATCTAAAGGACTTCATCAATCCGGAGAGCCACAAACAAATTCAGTCCCACAAGCAGTACACTCCCACTCCCAAACACTTTGGCTGCCTCAGAGTCGTCGACGGAGGAGAGGGTGGGCCCCAGAAACTATCTTATCACCAGCAAACTGGTTGGTCCACTATGGAAGTGTGCTGCTTGTGGGACCGAATTTGTTGTGGCTCCTCGGACTGATGAAGTCCTTTGGATGAAAGATGAAACATTAAAAAAAAAAGTCCAGATGACCAGACTGAACTTTGTACTGCTAAAGATCATCTGAACGTGAAGACTAACTTCTAAAAAAATATTTAATTTGATACAGGAGAATTAGAGGAAACAAAACACAAGACTTAATAACTTAATGTCCCAGAATGAAATACTGTTTGTGCTTTTTCATTGGTGTAGAAAGAGTGAATTAAACAAGAATAAACACCCACCTGACATTTATCTAGCCTCATAATCTGCCCTAATATTAAACTTTTCTGAAAACAATGTTTGAAAAAAATGCCCCAGGAGTGTTACAGAGGCTGGGAAAGTGTAGAGGATGTAAGATGTTAGCAAAGATCTTTGGGTTTCATTATATTCTCATCATAACTAGTGACAACTTTGCAGTTTCAGTTCTGTTCTGGTGGGTGGTTCTTATTCCCAAAGAGGAATACAGGAATGTGGAGCCATAACTTTCAGTAGAAGAAAACAGAAAACAAACCAGCAGACTTACAGTGGTGATTAAATGTAGAATTGTCTATATTTCTGCATAAATATGATCCAAAATATCATCAGGTTTTCACACAAGTCCTAAAAGTACGGTAGATAAAGAGAACCCAGTTAAATGAGACAAAAATATTATACTTGGTCATTATTTTATTGAGGAAAATGATCCAATATTACATATTTGTGAGTGTTAAAAGTATGTGAACCTCTAGGATTAGCAGTTAATTTGAGGGTGAAATTAGAGTCAGGAGTTTTCAATCAGTGGGATGATGATCAGGTGTGAGTGGGCACCCTGTTTGATTTAAAGAACAGGATCTATCAAAGTCTGCTCTTCACATGTTTGTGGAATTGGATCATGGCAGGAACAAAGAAGATTTCTGAGGACCTCAGAAAAAGAACCGTTGATGTTCATCAGGCTGGAAAATGTTACAAAATATCTGTAAAAAGTTTGGACTCCACCAAGCCACAGTCAGACAGACTGTGTAGAAATGGAACAAATTTATGACCATTGTTTCCCTCCCCAGGAGTGGTGGACCAACAAAGGTCACTCCAAGAGCAAGGTGTGGAATAGTCAGCGAGGTCACACACAAAGCACCCCAGGGTAACTTCTAACAATTGAAGGCCTCTCTCACATTGACTAATGTTGATGTTCATGAGTCCATCATCAGGACAACACTGAACAACTATGGTGTGCACAGCAGTTTGAAGGAGAAAACCACTGCTCTCCAAAAAGAACATTGCTGCTCGTCTGCAGTTTGCTAAAGATCACGTGGACAAGCAGAAGACTGTTGGAAGATTGTTTTGTTGACGGATGAGACTAAAATAGAACTTTTTGGTTTAAATGAAAAGTGTTGTTTGGAGAAAGGAAAAAAAAAAAAAAAAGCATTCCTACACAAGACCCTTATCCCACCTGTGAAACATGGTGGTGGTAGTATCATGGTTTGGACCTGTTTTGCTGCATCTGGGCCAGGATGTCTTGCCATCATTGATGGAACAATGAATTCTGAATTCCATCAGAGAATTGTAAAGGAAAATGTCAGAACATCTGTCCATGAACTGAATCTCAAGAGAAGGTGGGTCATGCAGCGACAATGACCCTAAATACACAAGTGGTTCTACCAAAGAATGGTTCAAGAAGAATAAAGTTCATGTTTAGGAATGGTCAACTCAAACTCCTGACCTTAATCCAATCCAGATGTTGTGGAAAGACCTGAAGCAGCAGTGAATGTGAGGAAGCCACCAACATCCCAGAGTTGAAGCTGTTCTGTACAGAGGAATGGACTAAAATTCCTCCAAGCCATTGTGCAGGACTGATAAACAGTTACTAGAAATGTTTAGTTCCAGTTATTGCTGCAATGGGGAGTGGGGGGGCACACCAGGTACTGAAAGCAAAGGTTCACATACTTTTACCGCTCACAGATCTGTAACATTGGATCATTTTCATAAATAAATAAATGACTAGGTATAATATTTTTTGTCTCATTTGTTCAACTGGGTTATCTTTATCTACTTTTGGTATGGTATGGTATAAAGTTTATTCATTTTAAAAAGGTACAAAACAATTCCATAACAATATAAAGAAAGACACAAGAGATTTAAAATGAAAGGCAGCAGAAAGAAGAAAAAATCTTATTATATCTGCCCCTTTTTTCAAACAATTATTTCAATCATAATAATTTTCAAGTAACAGAACAAAATGAATAACTTTTTCTAATTTTTCTAATTCTAATACAAAACACACACTAAGCTACTTCATATATACTTTTTTAACAATTCAGTTTTGATCTTTTTCTTAAATGTACACATTGACTTGACATTTTTCACATCACGCTCTAGACCATTCCACAATCCAACTCCTTGGATTGAGGTAGACCTTCCCTTCAGACTAGTTCTGAATTGTGGTTTGACAAATATCTCTATCCCCTTGAGATTATAACAACTTTGTCTTTTAACAAAATTTCTTTGGATATTTAATAGTAATGTGTTATTTTGAGCCCTATACATAACTGATAAAATACTATAATCTACCAAATCATGGAACTTCAATAACTTCAGTTGATAAAATAATGTGCTTGATGGGTGACTGTAATGCTTTCTGGTGATGATTCTTACAGCTCTTTTCTGTAAAATAAAAATAGGTTTTGTAAATGTTTTACACACTTTCCCCCAAACATCAATGCAATAGATTAAATGTGGAACAATGATTGTGTTATACAACATGTACAGAGCTTTATCATTTAATAATTCCCTGACTTTGTATAGTACTGCAATAGATTTAGATATTTTTGTTCTTACAGAATTTATGTGATTTTTCTATGTTAGCTGTTCATCAATGATTACACCCAAAAATGTAATCTCATTAACTCTACAAATCTCAACACCCTCAATTTTGAATGGATCATCAACAGTTCTCTTTTTGTTGCTAAATATCATGTATTTAGTTTTATCTAAATTTAATGATAATTTATGAAGTTTAAACCAAGTTTGTATTTTATCAAATTCTGTCTTCATCATTTCCAACATCTGTTTTATATCTTTACCCAAACAGAAAAATGTGGTGTCATCTGCAAAAAGGACACATTTGAGGAGTCCTGATACATTCACTAAGTCATTCACATATAAAATAAATAACTTTGGTCCAAGTACAGAGCCTTGAGGAACTCCACACGTGATATTGCACAGGTCAGATCTTACACCATTTATTTGTACAAACTGTTTCCTATCTTTCAAATAGCTAGATACCCAGTGTAATGCTGGTCCTCTTATACCATATTTATTTAATTTTTCAAGGAGAATAGTGTGGTCAATAGTATCGAATGCTTTTTTTAAATCAACAAAAATACTAACACAATACTGTTTTTGATCGACAGCAGTAGTTATTTGTTCTATTATTTCCATGAGAGCCATTGATGTAGAGTTTTTTGCTCTAAACCCATACTGACTACTACTTAGAATGTTTTGTTTAGTAATACATTTATCTAATCTGGTCACAAATAGTTTTTCTAGAATGTTTGAGAACTGTGGTAATAAGGATATTGGTCTATAATTATTGAACACACATTTATCACCATTCTTAAAGAGAGGAACTACCTTAGCTACTTTCATATTGTCTGGAAATATTCCTTTTGAAAATGATAAATTACAAATATATGTAAACGGCTCGATAACATAACTCATTATGTCCTTTACAAACATCATATCCATGTCCACCCAGTCTTTTGATCTCTTATCTGTAAGATTTTTTATTACATTCATTATTTCTTCTTTGTCAGTTCCATTAAGAAAAATACTGTTGTCACAACTTATAACTGAATGGTTCACATTATTGTCTACTTTTGGTATTTTAGCAGCAAGGCTTGATCCAACGTTCACAAAATGATGATTAAATCCATTTACAATTTCATTTTCATCATGGATTTCATCGTCATCCTTCAAAAAATATTGTGAAATACCTGTTTTTGCTTTATGACTTTTCACAACACTATTTATTACTCGCCATGTTGCTTTCATATCACCATTACTTTTATTTAATAAATCACTATAATATTCCTTCTTGTGTTTCCTTATAATCCATACTAATTTATTTTTATACTTCTTATATTTATCTTCAGCCTTTTGTGTTCTCAATTTCAAGAAACATGTATACAAATAATTATTTTTTTTACAAGCATTTCTCAACCCTTTCGTCATCCATGGTTGATCAACAACATTTCTCTTTGTACAATTATTTTGCACACAATTCTTTTCATACAGAGCTCCCAAAATATTCATAAACTCATCATATGATCTGTTCACATCATCAACATACACGTCTTTCCAGCTTTGTTTATGTAAATCATCTTTTAATTTGTCCAGTGCTTTTTTTGATGTGTTTATTGTTTTTTTCTTAATTGTAATTTCTTTTGTAATGTTTTGATCAGTTTTATAAATCATGAAAACTGGTAAATGATCACTTGAATCACTCGTTAAAATACCTCCCATCACATCCCCATTTGTTACATTTGTGAAAATATCGATTATTGTAGCACTAT